TCGACCAAGTGATCAGACCCCACGTTGTTCCATTTTTTGCACAACATCAACAACACATTTTCCAGCAGGACAACGCTCGTCCCCATGTTGCCAGAGCTACCATGGCCTTTCTGCAACAACACAACATCCGTGTTCTACCGTGGCAAACTCTCAGCCCTGACACTTGTGGGATGAGGTTCAAAGGTGTCTGCACAATGTGCGCCCAGTCCCTACAACTGCCGATGAACTACGCACAGCTGCTCTGGATGTGTGCAGGAGGATCCCTAGGGCCTTCACAGATCGTCTGATCCACTCAATGTACAGGAGATGTGTGGCAGTGATCAATGCTAATGGTGGTCACACCAGGTATTGACTGACATTTTGAGTATTGACCCGAAACTATTTAAGCCCTTAACATTTGAAAAAAAACAATTATGTCATCTGCCTTTTAATCCATTAAACTGTCTTCAGTCAATTTTTGTCAATCTTGGCCTATTAGTATTTCTTGTCTTTACTGTTGAAAATAAATAACATGTCTACTGCATACTCGACTTGCGTTTCTTTTGCCTGTGAGTATATTTTCACCGTCGACCCAGTGTTTGATGTTCGTGAAACGGCTACAGGAAGAAACGACAGACTCTGTCTTGTACGTTATTATTTTCTCGGCTGTATCGGTTGTCCAGATGATTCATAGTTTTGTGAAAACGTTGTTGACATTCGTGACATGTTGACGTGCAGACAAAGACGGGCAACATGTCACTGTCATCACCGAGACTGTGTCAATGATGTATACAGAAGGCACATCCGGTGTTATGTATAAAAGAATCAACCAAAAGGTTTAATATTTAACAGCATCGACGTCAACTCCGCGCTCAGGCATTGTGTGTAGGACCTTCATAATTAAAACACCGGTTAAAAGACATGCATAGACCAAGGCCACTCTTGAATTGCGATTGAGAAAGAAGGCAGCATCCAGTCACAAGCAGGCTTTGTTAAACTTCAACAAACACCGGCAGACAGGGTTCGCAATGTCCAATGATCGTGTGTTCCACACGCGGCATCGAGTGTGATGTAACAGAAACCAGCAACCTTGATACTTAATTGATGAGCCTCTGTCGTGGGGAACGGTCTGTCCTCGGTAAACACTTCGCAGTTGTTCTTTTTCTCCAGAACTGTTTGATAGATTGAACTGGATGCTGTTGCAGGCTCGCCTGACCATTTAATGAGCTGATGTTTTTTTAAGGCATCAACATTATATTTTTTTTCAAAATGGTAACTTTATTGGGACGATTCAATGTGAAATTAACACTCAACATTTCAAAACACACAATTTTAACATATACCATATATATCAAATTCGAATCAAAACAAGTCATACAGGATCCAAATCAAAGCCATTTCAAAAAGATGTGGAACTGTCATTCTTCTTGAATCACTAACCATTTTTAAAAACAACATTATATGACGTACGCCAATTCTTTCTATCCTAATTTTCTTTATTATACATTTTATAAGGTCCAGCAGTAAATAAGACTTGGGAGCAAAGGAAGCTATACCTCTCAGTTTGATTTTTAATTGAAAATATCTTAAGTTAGCGATATATAAAAAATGAACTTCAGTGGCGCTGCGCTTCTGCCAACGATGCTGGAGTGCCTGGATCTCGTTCATGTAGAAGGCTTCGTCGTAGTGGTGTAAAAGTCAGCAGAAATGACGTCATCATTTTGCATAATGCTTGCCAGACAGCTTTTTTCTTAAAGTTTGAGAAAAGGTGGAAATCTGACTGTGCCAAATCTGGTGAATACGGGGGATGTTCAGTGTGCTTAAAGCCACAGTCTGGTTTTTTGTGTGTGTTTTTTTGTAGTTTAATGCCGCAGTCTGGTTTTTGTTTGTTTGTAGTTTAACGCCGCACGCAGCAATATTGAAGCTGTTTCAAGGCGGTGTGCAAATAGTCAAAACTGGACCAGACAATCTAGTGATTGACATCATGAGCATCGATCTACGTAATTGCCTCGGCAGATTAGCAAAAGAGTGACATTAATGGGGTGACCTTTCGGCAGGTCGTCCACCCAGAAGACCGAACAGACTTTGACTTCTTCCTGGGAGAAGACGTTAGATGTTTCCACTGTTCAACAAAATCATCTGAGTCTGTAAATGAGCAAGAGAGATAGTGAACCTGGAGCTTTTCTGATCAGGAATCGGAAGCCTTGGAACCCGGCGTGCTGAATCATTGTAACGCCCAGTTCATTCCTCAGCATGTTCTCAACTCTCAAAAGAGATACCTACTGTATTGGCTGGACGTGTCATCCATGTTTATATTATGCATTTGTCAACATTTTCCCCAGTGATGGCAGTTGATGGTCTTCCGGATCATGGATCATCTTCGGAGTTCTTCTTTCCCACTTGAACTCCTCTGTCCATCCCTTAATAGTAGCAAAGGGGGGAGCCTTATCCCCTAACAGTTGACACGATGTCGCATGAATGGCTGTTGGAGTGTTTGATTTGGGGGCCGTCGGGTAGCCTAGTGGTTAAAGCGTTCGCTCGTCACGCTGAAGACCCGGGTTTGATTCTCGACATGGGTACAATGTGTGAAGCCCATTTCTGGTGTCCCCTGTCGTGCTATTGCTGGAATATTGCTAAAAGCGGCGTAAAACCACATTCACTCACTCTTTCATTTGGAGATACTTGATGACAGAGGGGCGGTCGGTTAAAGCGTTCGCCCGTCACGCCGAAGACCCGGGTTCGATTCCCAACATAGGTACACTGTGTGAAGCCCATTTCTAGTGTCCCCCGCCACGATGTTGCTGGAATATTGCTAAAAGCAGCGTAAAACCACACTCACTCACTCACTTGATGACAGCGCGCTAGCCATTTATATTCATTATCATAAACAGAATACTTACTCTCTTCGATGCCTGCAGAAATATGTAGCATAGTTGGGTAAATGGTTCAAATGCAGCATGTTAGCATGGAAGTATTATACATGCAAGCTGCTAAGGGTGTACAGTACATCCTTCCTGGTTAGGGTCAGAACTTCTCAGCTTCCCTGGTACAGCATGAATGAATGACGGTGGTGTCCTTAAGTACGCCCACGGGAAGAAATAAATCACCACATAAAAATATTGAATATTGAATACTCATAAGATGGACCCGTGCAGATCCGGGGTAGAATAGGTCTTCCCCAACCCATGCTTGCTGTAAAAGGTGACTATGCATGTGATGATGTCGTAAGAGGCAACTAACGGGATCGGGTGGTCAAGCTCGCTGACTTGGTAGATGCATGTCATGATCCCAATTGCGTAGATCGATGCTCATGGTGTCAACCACTCTATTGTCTGGTCCAGACTCGAGTATTTACAGACCGCCGTCATATAGCTGGAATACTGCTGAGTGCGGCGTTAAGCAACAACAAACAAAAGCCTATACTGTACTTGGGGTAGAACGTTTTCTGCTTATTTGGAAGTAATTATAAATGACACCTTTATTTCTGAGGTCACCTCCCTTTGAACATAAACACTTTTGAATTTTGTCAATCCACTCATTCGGTTCTCCCACCATAGTTCCATCTGTTCGCCAGCCTGTGTCACTCTACAATTGCTATAATGCTTTAATTGTTAACTGACCATTCAGTGAATCTCAAGGACAATCAATGACAATTAGGTGGGTGAGTATGGTTTTACCCCGCTTTTATCGATCACCATAAGCATCGCATTTGAAAATCTCGGGATTAAAAATTGAAATGTCAACCCAGCAATTTCCATGGCATATTTGCCTTGAAAATGTATTTTACACCATAGGCATAAATGTTCCATCAACTAAAGTGGCAACTATGTGATCAAGTGAGTGAGTGAGTGAGTATGGTTTTACGCCGCTTTTAGCAATATTCCAGCAATATCACGATGGGGAACACCAGAAATGAGCTTCACACATTGTACCCATATGGAGAATCGAACCCGGGTCGTCCGTGTGACGAGCGAACGCTTTAACCACTAGGCTACCCAACCGCCCTCAGTAACAAGTGAACATACCCAGTAACAAAGTTCTATGTACGTATATATATATATATATATATATATATATATATATATATATATATATATGTGTGTGTGTGTGTGTGTGTGTGTGTTTGTGTTTGTGTGTGTGTGTGTGTGTGTGTGTGTGTGTGTGTGTAAAGCTAGTTTGTCTTGTTTGCGTGTCTGTTTATATGGCCGACTGCAATCCATAGCTGGATAGGCGCGGTGGGGTAGCCTTGTGGTTAAAGCGTTCGCTCGTCACGCCGAAGACCCCACATGGGTACAATGTGTGAGGCCCATTTCTGGTGTTCCCCGCCGTGATATTGCTGGAATATTACTAAAGGCGGCGTAAAACCATACTCACTCACCCATTGACTCACTCCATCGCTGGATATTGTAAAGTATTCATGGTTCATTTCAGTCACACAGTTCTCTTTGTCAAAAATCAATATTTTACTTTTATAATGTACTTTAATAGCTATATAGACTACAAAGCTGAAATGTATTGATTACTTTTTGAAACATTTTTTTTTCAAGTTGTTTGAACACGGTCCCCGCGTTTATGCATCGGTCCATTTGCAATGACCTGGCATAAATATATTTTTGACAAATCAAAAATCTATGAAGGATTGTCACGCAACAAAAGCACGTGATTCACAGATGTAAGATGCAAATAGTTTTGATAGAAAGGGATAATGCAAGCTTGGCACTTCACAGTATAAAATATTGATGCCAACAGTACGCATTACCGAGCCCATTGTATCGCATAGCTTACATTCTGCATGCTACTGTGTTAGCTTCCACTGTAGAAACAGCTGTTGCGTTGTCTGACAGTAAATCAACAGGGGTTGTCAAATAAGAAAAGACGCCGAAGTATTTATTACCACAGCAACATTATGCCCTGAGAGTGAGGTCGTCAATGCACAATGTGCACCATGCCGAGATTAACCAATCCAGATTCGTAATCAGAAACGTTCGTGTTTTTTAACGAAACCATGACCACACCTTCGACCACCACTTCCGGTTGCCTCTGTCAACCAAACGCGAATAACACCGACGCGTGATTGAACGAGGATAAAGTTACTAAAAGTGATTTTCGTGAACGGGAGCTGTAGGTGGAAAGAAACCATGGGGAAACCGCTGGAAGGAACGATAGAAAAAGTGTATTTGCACATTCCAATCTTGAAATTTGCGGTGGTTACCGTCTCGCTGCCAGCGCTTGCCCTCCTCTTCTGTTTCGTGACAGCATATCTGTTCCGTTTCGACGATGTGAACGACACTCAGTGTAATGTAAGTATTAGCCATTTGAGGAAATTGTAGCCCTAGATTGTATCCATTTCCTGGTGACGCATTGTTTGAACACTTTCTCGGATCATCTATTTGTTTGTAAACAAACATCAAAGTTAACAAGTTGACATGCTGTGATTTTGGAAAATGTGAAACTTTATCTGTTTTTTAATGAGTTTTTTTTTATTCGTGCTGGTACATTAGCGTAAGCTTAGTCGATAATCCTTTTAAACTTTTTTTGAAACAGATTCAAGTTATTTTATTTGAGAGAACAGTCAGATTTATTCCTTGGGGAAGCTTTATTAGGAAGCTTTATTAGGCTAGCTCAGATACTTTAGTCACAGTGCTACAAACAATAATTCCAAGTATTAACTATTTCTACTAATCCAGAATGTTTGTTAATGATTGAGATATTTTATTCAGGTGATAGGATTAGTCCTAGTTTCTGACACAGGTCAGCGGATCAAGTTCTGCGTTCAATGTGGGATTAATAATTTAACTGTAATCAAGGCAATTGGAAGACAAGTCAAGGTGAACTTCTTTATAAGATAATGCGATAAACATGATTAACTTTTATTTACTGTGTTTATACATAAATGGGTTCATGACCTTTTTCTTGACTCATGGTTTAATGTTATGGATAATATTGTTTTGCTTTTTGTGATATGCTTTTATATTTCTTCGGAAATAGTCATGCGAGGATGCATGTTCTTGATACATGAGGTTTTGTAATATAGACCTAAGAGATCCATCAACTTTTTATATGAAATATTTGATTTCTGTATTGTTATGACATGTGATGTTATCATGTTAATAACACTGATGTGACTTCAGCTAGTCATTTTTTTAAAATTGCCTGCTTTACAGAACTGCAAACCTAGAATCTATATCTCATATCTATAATATCTCACATTCAACTGGAATAGTATGTAAACATTAAGAACAGCAAGTCTTATGCTACATTTCAATTAAATTAATAATTCACAAAGTAGATAGAGGTCGGAAGACTTGTCATTCAAGGTAATAGGGACATTTCACCCTAGTCTTGTCCTACAGACCCTGAAACAAATATATATCCAATAAAGCCCATGAAGATTTGCTATGAAGCAAGTCTAGATTACTGAAAATTAAGAGAGTCTTTGGGCTCCTATTTATTATGTTTAATAACGATTTTTTAACAACCGTTTTTATGTGTAAAATATGTTCATTAAAGAGACTAGATGTAAGTCTACTTTCACAAGACTTACAATATTTATCAAGAGATCAGTTGAATGTGTTAAAAACATTGTTTTTCCGTAATTCTTTACTTGTTTGGACCAACATGACCAAGGACCTCATGTTTTTGACAACAAATAATATATCTGTCATGTCTGTGAATCTGGTAAAAGAACTGAAAAAAAGACCATAGTACATATGTTAAAGCTTGTGAAAATAACTAGATTTCATAACATGCAGTTAATGGTCATAAGTAGAGTAAGGAACGGGTGTTTGTCGTGGTCAACTACTGTAAACTATTTCAAAGTGTAATAAGTAGTTAATTGTTTCATCCACCTATTGTGTGTGTCCAATCATGCAAAGTATGCAACCTGACCATCAGCTGGTGGGCCCTTGATTGTGTAGATGTTAATTGCCTATTGAGTTAATTGCTGCTGGCTTAATTAGCTTGATTATGGCAAGTATTGATGTGCATTGTTCAAGAAGTGGCTAAGTATTATGACATATAAAAACATGTCAAAGCATTTGTTTTGAATTTTGGGGGGATTTCAAAATATAATGTTATAATGTTGTTAAGACATTAATTCTTTATTTGACAGATCAGGAATTATTTTCAAAACTGTCACTGATTTGAAAGGTCAATATATTAATGAGTCCATTCAGAAATGTTACGACAAAATGATACTTTTGACAAAAGATCTTAAATGTCTAATCCATATGTATGAATTTCTTAGCCGAAGGTCTTTACTAACGAGTATCTGTTATTCCCATTGTTTGCAAAGTTTTTTTTAATTTTCATGTGAGTGTAACTTACGTCAGCAATTTGTCCGAGGAATTATGATATTTGTATAGTTATTTCCATTTTATGTATTGATGCAGTGTTATCAAATACATTGTATCAATAAACAATATGTAAGTGCATCCTTCCGCAATAGTCCCAGTTTTCCATGGACATGTAGGTGTTCAAGTTGATGGCCTCTCTCGGTATATCAGTATGCTCAGTTTCTAACAAAATTCTCCTCCGGTCCCGACAAAAATAACCATTAAAATGCATGTTACTTCCGGTATCTGATAAATGGTAAATACCAGAAATGATTTTTGTCTACACAATCTGTATAATTTGGGAAGTGATATTGCAAACTAGTAGAGTCAGATTCTATCGGCAAACTGTTCTGGATAGTAACAGATATTCCTTCATTAGCGAATTCTCGCCAATTTGTTAAAAATGTTGTACTTTACTGTTCATTCTCTGCCATTCAAGGATCTGCTGTTCCTTGGTCCTACCATAAGCATGATAAGTCTGTCTGCACCGTATCAATTCACCAATTTTGTACATCATGTCTATGGCCTAAACTTCTTTTGACTTCCCTCCACATGTATGACATATGCCTGAAATACTGTTCAACATGTTCATGTGTTTAAGTCTACCACTGTACATAACACCTGAACATATTGAAAGACACTCATCATAACCGGTACTGATATCAGTATGTACCAGTAACTAGTAAGAGAATTTCAATGAAGGAATAAGATTTAAACATTTTCCAGGCATGATAGGAGCTAATTCTTTCACATATAATTCTGAAATATGCCCAAATGTTTGTAAGCAGTTATGATTGGTTGGATGTACCGATTACAAACATTTGCCAACTACATTGTATGTCCCTCGATGAGTCATGTAAGGTGAGGAAAACAGGGCAGTGCGTTCATTTGTATACAGAATAATTCCTTCAGCGATTTATCAAGTCTTCCAAACTTATTTATCATAAACTCATTATTTTGTTCAAAAATTGAAATAAAGGCCTCAGCATGTGTGAATAATATCCTGCTAAAGGTGGACATGGAGATGCAGTTACTGTGTTTGTTGGTAAAACCAGCGGTAGAAACTAACATTTTTAGTCCACTAGTCCTTACAATGACAACATATAGCAAAACCCTTAAAAAGGGCAAATTTCCACTGGCCCTAATGATACCTTAACTATTGGGCAGTTTGGCAAGGACTACAGGACTAGTGCCAATTTCTAATGCTGAAAACCATATCCATTTCCCCGTTTGTAGACATGTATCACAATCTCTGCCAAAAACTTTGAATCTACTTGACCGAACTTTAGCTCTTAGCATCATTTTCTGTAGATTTTCGTGTTAAGAGATGGACAATTTTTAACAGAGATTGCAAGTATTATACCACATCAAACAGTATGTTGCAAGACCTCGGTTTTGGACTTGTGGCCAAATTTGCAGACTGGTATTTGGATTATGTACATGATAACAATAATGAAATAAACCTCTCATTCCATCGTTGCCTTACATTTGGAATGGGGGACAATATTGATTTGGTACCTCCTAGAGGACAATTGGATCATTTGCAAAGATACATGCATCAATACCACACACACAGATACATTTACATAGAATAGTATAATCAATATTGGTGCAGGGTGAAATCAATCAATGCCTATTGCATGGTCACAGGCTATCCATACTATTGGAAGCATTGTGCACACGCGAAGGTATTGACTCATATTTTGTGGAACTCTCATAAAGAGCTGACACTAATGGTTTTTCAATTATTTATTTGTTGATGGGATTAACTATGGTTGTTGTGATGTGAGAGTTATCTTTTCTTGTTAGTCATAGCAGCTAAAGTTGTGACAAATTAAGGTTTAGGTTGGTTCTCAGCATCTTCCTGAGGCAAGGGAGTTAACTGACTTATATAATAAAGTCCAGTTTCCACCCATGTCTAACTAGGCTGGTATTATGGAGTTACATTTTGGCTGGACTAAGGAGTCTGTGCATAGTCCAATCAAAATCGTGCAACGAAATCGAAATCCGGTTCGTAAACTGCCGTGCAGATTTCAGTCGATTGCAGGGTTTGCAAAGCATGTGCACCGCCAACTCGTCAACAGATTTTTTCCAAATCTTTTCATGTTTTTAATCAAGGTGCTCATGTGATTTGATGCACTTTGCAAAGTAAGATCCGTTTTATCGCAATATAGATATTGATTAGTAATCAGATCGTCTTGACTGGGGGGCACCATTTTATTTGAAGCAAATGCAGGTGATACAAGGTGTGGAATCTGATTGGTCCATAGGAGAGGCTTTGAAGGGACATTACTCGTAATAGCCATTAGTGGTGCAACGATCGAGCCCAGGAATTCCAGCCTTGTTCGGCAAGGGTGGAAACTGGACTTAAAAAAAAAGTTTGCCCAATTTCTTACTGACATCATTATCCAAAAACATGACAAATTTGGCTTTCTGCTTTTAGGTAGGGCAGCGTATTGAATAAGTATATTTATTGCAATATTTTGTGATACAGTATCTGTAATGCTATATGTATATATATTGGGTGCTAAAGTTTGACACTGTTTGACATTAACTGTACATGCAGACCAATTTTCCACATACTATAGTAAGTAATACTTAGCATTGTCATTCGCAGCCATTTGTATTCATAGATACAGGGGAGATGAGAGAGAATTCAATCAGCGTTTCAGTTTTGCAGGGAAACATTATTTGTGAATGATTTTCTGTGCAGATTTTAGGTTTAACGATAAAAATAATACTAAAACTTGTTATATATATTTTTTTTACCCACTAAGTAACAGAAAATATATTGCAATATGTAACACCATGCAGTGCTAATGGTAAATGGTAATAACACTTGTTATTCAGAATCAACCCAGGTGCCTACTTACATACTGCACTATAGTCTGTCATGCAGACCCTGAAACATATATATTCAATACAGCCCATGCAAGTCTATAATGTTTTGCAAGTCTAGGATGCAG